CCTTCCTTCTCTTTCTTTCTCTCTTTCTTTTCTTTCCTTCTCCCTCCCCCGAATTTAATCCCTAACGAGTTTTTCTTCTTCTGTTTTTATTTCTTACGTATCTTCCCTTCTCGACAGCTCCCCAAATCGCTGTCCCTGGTGTGTGTGTGCGCTCCTAAGAGGGTGGACGCCACACCGAGCGGTGCGCACCCTGCCTCCCGTGCGGGGGCAGCCCGGCGCAGCCCCACCGCACCTTCACAGCCGGCTCCCAAACCTCTCCCCGGCCCAGGAGGGTTTTGCCAGCCCTTGTGGCTCTTTACGAACAAAGTAGGTCCGGCTTCTGTCTCACTCAGGCTAGAGATCTGGATGGGCACGGGAAAATTCAAGGGTGGATTCAACTATGCAGCGAGGAGTCGAAAGCAGAGGTGCGTTGACACAAAAGCTGAGAAAAATGACCCACTGTGCGCCCTCGATTTTATGCGTTATTTTGAAAACAGGGGATAAAAGCCCGGGAACTATTATTATTTGTTCTCCTACTGGAATCAGACTCCAAGTTTATACCTAAGATCTCCCCCTGTCTTCTCACTTCTGGGCATTGGCGGTGAATGTCCCGCACTGAGAGATGGTGTCTTTTTTTAAAACCCCAGGAAAGCTCAGCAGAGGTGGTTTCCTTCCCCCGGGCCAGGCGCTCCCGCAGGCGCAGCCGGGGACCCGCGGGTCCCTCCCCGGCGGGAAGCGGGGCGGGGGCACCCCCCTGAACCGGGAGGTCTGTCCTTCCTCGGGTCCTCGTCCCGAACCGCAGATGTCAGCCTTTTCCTACGTGTTCGGGCTGCTAATGCGGGCCCTTCACACAACAGAAATGCTCATCTCTGGAGCCTTTCCAGGGGCCAGCCGCCGGTTCCGTGCGCCGCCCCTGAAGCAGGCAGCCCCGGGGAGGGGGGAACCCGGGGTGCCCGGCAGCCTCCGCCGACGGGACCCTCATCCCCTCAGGGCCGAGCACCCCGCGGTGCCCCGGGGTCCCCCCGCAAACCGGCCGAGGCACAAACTCCGCACGTCCCCGCCAGGACACGCTGCCGAAGTTCACCAGCTCGACCCCTCCCGCGGGTCTTTCGCCGAGACCTTTTTTTCTGTGCCATTCACACCCAAAAACCCCTCACCTGGCAGCCCCCCGCCCCGCCCCGCTGTCGCCAACGGAGGGACCCCCGGCGGGGGCCGCGGAAATCCGTGTCACCCCTGGGACCCCCGAGGCTGCCCCCCGGGACCCCGCTCCCGCGGTGCCCAGCGGAAGGGTGAGGGGTCTCTGCGGGCCCGTTGGGGCAGGGCCGTGCCGAACCCACCCGTGCCCGGGCGGCCGTCCCGAGGCCGGGCGCGGAGGGGAGCGGCGGCGGCGGCTTCCCGCGGGGAGGGAGCCTGATGCGAACGGCGCCGGCGCCATCTAGCGGCCGAGGGACGCCAGCACCGGCCGCGCTGCTGCCCCGCCGGGCGGCGGGAGGCGGCCGGCCCCGGGAGGGAGAGGCGCTGCGCGGGTGCGGGGGAGCACAGCTCACACCCCCGCCCCTCCGCACCGCGTTTTCCCCTTGGTTTCCTAATAAGCGGGCATCGTTGTGTTCCTCCCCACCCCCAAACGCCCCAAAGTTTTCGGAGCAGTGTTGGTGCCAGTACAAAAAGGGTGCTCCCTCTTCGAGGTGTCCTTTTTTTTTGCGTGTTTACGCACACGGGGCACTGAGAGGAAAAAAAATAAAAATCTAAAGGCTTTCGTCTTCCCCTACAAATTAAAAAAAAGAAAAATCTCAACGGAAACAAAAGAGACCCCCGGCGGGGGCCGCGGAAATCCGTGTCACCCCTGGGACCCCCGAGGCTGCCCCCCGGGACCCCGCTCCCGCGGTGCCCAGCGGAAGGGTGAGGGGTCTCTGCGGGCCCGTTGGGGCAGGGCCGTGCCGAACCCACCCGTGCCCGGGCGGCCGTCCCGAGGCCGGGCGCGGAGGGGAGCGGCGGCGGCGGCTTCCCGCGGGGAGGGAGCCTGATGCGAACGGCGCCGGCGCCATCTAGCGGCCGAGGGACGCCAGCACCGGCCGCGCTGCTGCCCCGCCGGGCGGCGGGAGGCGGCCGGCCCCGGGAGGGAGAGGCGCTGCGCGGGTGCGGGGGAGCACAGCTCACACCCCCGCCCCTCCGCACCGCGTTTTCCCCTTGGTTTCCTAATAAGCGGGCATCGTTGTGTTCCTCCCCACCCCCAAACGCCCCAAAGTTTTCGGAGCAGTGTTGGTGCCAGTACAAAAAGGGTGCTCCCTCTTCGAGGTGTCCTTTTTTTTTGCGTGTTTACGCACACGGGGCACTGAGAGGAAAAAAAATAAAAATCTAAAGGCTTTCGTCTTCCCCTACAAATTAAAAAAAAGAAAAATCTCAACGGAAACAAAAGAGAACAGCAGGAGTGGCGGTCCCTTCCGTCCTCTCCCGCCGAGGTGTCCCCGTGGGCCGGTGCTCTCCCCGCACACGCTGCCCGAGCCTCGCGTGGGCACTTCCCGCAGCTGGGAAGAAGAAGAAAAAACAATATTGTGGAGACACCGCTGGCGAAACGAGCCCTTACTATTTAAATCTTAGTGTCAGCTCTCATTAACAGCTCAAGTCATCTTTTCCCCCGGGCAGACCTTGTCTGGTCTATCGACTTAATGGAAAACAAAACACATGTTTGTATTCTATTACTGCAATCTCGTCCCTTGCCTTGCGGAGAGCGGGGACAGGCGTCGCCTGCGTCGTGAGGGGCTTCCCGAAGCGACAACGCTTTCCCTTCCTTCCTCCCTCCTTGCCCTCCCAGGAAAAGTTAAGGATTCCGCCGTCGCTCTCCTGCCCTCCCTCCTGAATAGGGGCTGCAATGGCAGCCACAAGAAAAGGCTTTCACTGGAGCCGCGGAGGGCTAAAAAGAATCCAAGAAAAATAGTTACTGGCATGTTCAGCCAAACTTAGCAAAGCACAATGGTCCCTGCGGGAAACTTTGGGGGTTATTTGTGCATCAGGTGAAGTGCTCAGCGGCTCGGATCCAGCTGCCAAGGACCACAGCATCGCCCAGGGAAGCCGGCCGTGAGGAGACGAGCACGCTAGGCAATAACGGGCGACAGACTGAGAGTTTCGAGCCAACCCAAAACAAACAAACAAGCTTCCCCGACTCCCCCACCGGGAAGGTGGCTTTGATAAGAAAGCAGGGAAAGTTTTGAAGAGCTGCAGGCGCTTTTGCAAATGTATTTTAACTCGTCCTTTTTAAATTTTTTTTTCCATTTTTTCCTGAGACAATGGAAGGGGGAGGGTAAGAGTGAGAGCTTGATGAAAGGAAGGAATACATTTCTCACCCAGCGAAAGCAGGAGAGGTCCGTAGGAGTGGCGACCTGACCTGAATAAGGGCGACGATTCTGGTGCATGAAAAATAAACGATTCATTTCACCCCATCCCGAGCACCTTCCCTGGGTACGGGTCTGTGCGCAGTTCCAAGCGCAAGACACTTGAACCTGACACAAGTAACCCATCGAAACGAGCTGTTTTAATGTTCATCTCTGTGCTTTACGGACTGAGATCTTTTTAAGCCATCCCCTGCTGACCATTCCCACCCCCGCCTTCCCCTTCGGGACGCGCGGGTCTCTGCGGGGAAGGTGTGAATGCGGGAACTGCCCAGAGGCAACGCCGCTCCCGGGGCGCTCCCTGCGCGGCTGCGGAGCCGGGCTGCTCCGTCCCGGCGGAGGGAGCAGGGCCCCGATCCCGGGGGACCCCTCTGCCGCCGGGGGACCCTGGCGCCCGGGGCACAGAGAGCAGGGCCCGCAACTTGCCCGGTTTTGAAGCGCTTGGCTGTAAATAAAGGCTCTGGCAGTAACAGCAGAGCCGTCCTGCCGTCAGAGCGGAGGCTGCCTCTGCACCTTTCCTCTGCAACACACGCCGTCAGCGTTTTAATTCCAGCTCCAAAGGGAACCTGCAATTATGAGCCCCCTCCGTCCCCTCCCGCTCACATTCTCTTGTTTGAAACATTCACTGAAGAAGGTTATTTGGATTGCGAGTGAAATCAAACAGGGAGGGGAGGAATAAAAAAAAAAAAAAAAAAGCCCACAAACCCAACAACCCAGCAAACCCTTCCATTTGCTATTTACAAAACTCATTGTCATGCTTCACTCAGGCTGTCTGCCTAGCTTGGGGAAATAAATGTGACTGAACTAGAGACAAAGCCGATGCAGCTGTATTTGAATTTTTCAAACACTGTCAAACGTGCTCTTGTCTCATAATTCTCGGGGTCGTTGTTATTATTATGATCATCATACCTAATGTGAGAGAGAGGTGCTTGGTGGCGTAGGGACCTCATTGCCGTCGGGAATGCACAGAGATTCCTTTCGCAAAAAGCCAAAGGCTCCTTTTCTCTCCTGCATGGAAGCCCTGGCAGATAAACTGAGGAAAACTTGAGACCTGTAATTTCCCTCTTTTTTTTTTTTTTTTT